AAATTACTTATAAATTACATAAACAATATAAAAGTTTTGCTTTAATTACATAAAGAGAAATTAGATTTTCCCCTGAATCTGTCTTTGGCAGAAAGTCATGCAAATCACACAATTTATATGTAAATTGGCTGTAGGAAGGTTAAAAAAGTGGTTGACCCAAAAAGGGAGTGTTGTTATAACTATTCCTATACTGGTTTTTGGAACATTTATTTTTCAGTTCCACTGAAAAATAAATGATTTTTGGAATGCATTTTTATGTTCTAGTATTTTTGAATTTTGTTCCAAGATATAATTTTGATAAGTGGCCTGAAGATCACTGTTAACATTTGTTTAGTGAATTAATCATTATTTAATCAGAGTTAAGTTGCTGGAATAAAAAATTATCTGTAGAAGTTCCAGTTTGAGTTGTAAACATACATTCTAATTCCAAAAATTGAACGTTTTACAATGTTCAAGAGAAGTAATACATTCAAGATAATAAAAAGGAAGAACTTGACCAAAATAGTTCAAAACAGTTGTATTCACAACCAAGGATCAAGAGTCAGAAGTATAATTCCTCATTAGTAATATAATATTTAAGTTTTGCTGCATTTCACAGGTTTTTATTTATTAACATTTTTGGTCATATGATCTCAGAGTGGTACATGGTTGCTCTACATTATATTGGGGCCACAATGAGATCTCTGTTGGAATATAACAATTGAAGTTGTTGACAAATATAATATTGATGTGTGCATTGTATTGTGTCATGGTGATTTTTTCAAAGTTTTTCTGCTACATAAAATATTAGCGGTACTGTGTAAAGGTTAGGGTGAGATGGAAGGTTGTGTCATGTCTTGAATGGAGTCAGACTTAATGAAAATTTTACTCATTGGTACTTAGAATTTTAGAAACTCATCTCTGCCCTCAAAATTAAACTTTTTGCCTTTTTATAATAATTTAATAACATGAAATTTTATCAAAAATATTTTTTTTTTCAGATGGTGCCACACACAGTTTCAATGTTCTGCTAATGTATCAATGTTTTTAAACTTTAAATATTTTTTTTAAATAGAGAAATTTCTCATAATTCAACAAAATTATTCCTCTTATTCTTTAAATTTTATATGGCATTAGAATTGAAAATTATATAACTTAATAGTCTCCTTAAACTTCTTTTCAAATGCCAGGAAAGTCAAGCAAGAGTCAGCTTTCTTAAACCTTAGAAATAGTACTCTTCCATTTTAATTATTGATATTTCTGCAATACAGTAGAACCTCGAAAACTCGGCTCTCGATAACCCGGCACTCCGGATAACTTGGCCACACCCTGGCAGGGCAAAAAAATCCTCAGTTAATTAATTTTCATTATAGACAGCTTTATAAAAGTATAAAAGCTCTCAAAGTATTTTTCTGAGGTCTGTCTTATCAGGTAAATTACTGTACACAGTGTATTCATTAATTTTCATTTTCATGTAGTAAAGGCTCTATGCCTTCATAANATTATTAAGCACTTGCCGAATTTTATAAAATCTGTACGCAACTCGGTTATGTTGATGTACATCTTAGTAACAAGACTGTATTACTCAAATTATTTTAGTTTTGAATCTGACTTACTCAACATTAGATTGTTTATTACTTAAACACTGTGTTGTTTTTTGTTTTTCTTTTCAATTAATATCTGAAAATATTAGTATATTTTAATACGAAAATTTATGGAAAACCGGGGAACATTTTCCGCTAAATGTAAATTACATTTATTGGACAAGTTTTACCTATACACTTTGGTAAAGTTTTTTACAGTTTAGAAAACTTTTTTGTACATAAGATGTATGAATGAATGCATAAGTGTTCATATATTATATATATACATATATATATATATATTATATATTAATATACATATAGAAATTTGTATTGTTCAATTTATTTTGTATCTTTTGAGTCTAGTTTAATGAAAACTGATATTGCTATTTTTTTCTTCCTCATCCTAGCTTTCTTATCAACCAGGTGTTGTTGCTTTCAGATTTTAGTCTTTAAAACTGTCACTGTGTTTTGTTTTTATACATTAATCTTTGTGTTCAATAAAGTTTATTTAAACATTTTTAGGTGTTATTAACCTTTTCTAACCATAGTAAGTAATCGTAAAAATGACAAACAAAATACAGCAGTATCTCAGTACTCAAACTGTCCCCAACTTAAGCAATTTGGTATTCGAATACAAATTCTAGAAAAAAATCACTGTCTTCAATTGAACAAACATTAAAACAAATTTTTGATTAATAACATATTTTTATTTTGTTATATATAAAAACTTTTTATGATAAAAATGAAAAAAATAAAGACGTTACTGATATTTCTAATCAAGATCAATAAAAAA